CTAATAATCCTATCAAATATTTTGGAAATTTTTCAACATATAAATTATGCATACTGGGAAAATATGTTTATTACTTTCATTTTGCACAAAAATCTTCTAAAAAATAAATAAATAGCTTTTCAAATATAGTAAATATATATTAATTAACTACAATGTGTCTGGACAAAAACCCTATAATAACTTCAAACCAAAAGTTTTTTATTTTTTTTCTTGGAGGAGTTTTTCAATTTCATTTTCCGGTACCAGTTTTTCTGTTGGGAGACAAACAGTCACGTAGCTTAGAATTACAAAAAGTGGAACCTATTAAATAGTAAAACAAGTGAAGAAATCCAAATAAATTAAAAAATAAAAAATACCTGCCCTACTTTAGGTGTATGTGTGAAGGCATGATAATTATTAATGTGTAAATCTACTTCTAGACACCCTAGGAAGGGTTCTATCTTTTCATTTTTCAAGACGAAAATGAGATGGAATGAAACATATTTGAAAGGATGTGACAAGAGTAAATTGAAATGTAGAGACTAAGATGAGAGTTATCTAGAAGCAATTTTTTATATTATTTTCTTTTGTTTTTCTATTCGTTTATTTAAAGATGATGATAAATTAGTCATTTTATAATATTACAATGGAGAAAATAAACGGTAAGAACCTTTTAAGCAAAGAAATGTCAATTTGAGTGTTCAAATATTAAAATTGAAGTGATAGAAACTATTTGAGCAATTAAAGCGAATGATAGGAACGTTATGCGTCAAATTACACATATTTAGCGAAATGTAATGTAAATGACCAATTCTGCAAGAAATGTTTGAAATAAGAGTGTAAATGGCAAGTTTGAAACGATGAAGACCATTTTCACAATAATTACAAACGATAGGGATGTTTTTTGGAGGAATATGTTCTCACCAAAAAATTGGTGAAGGAAAGGGAAAATGGTGATTTTTAATGGGATATTCTTCACTTTCACAACTAAAATAAATTCAACAATGTTATGGTGAAAGAATTTTTTTGATATAATGGATGACTGACACTCACATTAGTCAGGGGCCCACTTTTCTTTGGACTTTTTTATTCATGCGTGGTTCATGCGTTGTGAGAGGATGTCAACTATTATGTTAAAGAAATTCTAGCAAAATAGTTAAATTGAAATAAATTTGAGTTCACATAGTGATTTGAGATATGCAGCACTATAGATGAAAATCCGTACAAGCATTAATTCTGCAGAAAAGATTCTCCAGGCGTCATAGAATGGGAACAACCGAGGAGATTGGTCTCTTGAACAAAGACAGTTTAATACAAAAGCAAGTACTATAAATCCAACTGGCTTCCATACTTATTGCTGTTCAACTTTAAGCTTACCATGCCACATATTTTCAAACATCAAGAGTACAATTTTTTCTTTTAAGTTCATTATTGAGCACTGAGGAGAATCATACTAAAGATATCACGGGTATATGCTAATACGAGTTTCAAAAAGAAGGGGTCAATCATGTTAAATTGTGAAGCTTAAGTATAGTTGTTACACAGAGTCCTTACGAAGTATGAAAAAACAGGGCGTTTGTAAACTACTTTACATAACAATGAATTACTATACGAAAGTTAGTTTCACATTGAGGCGAACCTCTATAAATTTTGCGTGTTTTTTGTATTTTTATTTTCTTATTGTGGTATAATTGCTTTTGGTTGTATAGGATTAGGTTTCTAATTCTCAAGAAACCAATACTTTAGAACAAGAATACTTTTGTAGCTAGTGAAATCATAAGCTAATTAAGCATAATTTTATGCGATATGGGGCACAATTAAAAGGTAGATTGAGATGTCGAGGAGTCAAAACACCTAAAATCTGAGACTCTAGGGATTTCACTTATTTCTTATGAAAAAGAAATTTAAGTCCAAAATCGCATGAAATTACTCATTTTAAATACACAAAAATAATTGATAGTTTTCTGTAGTTTTCTTGTAGGACACTGAGGTTCAGATAGTAACGATACATAACGGGCTTCGAATTTAGCTCGACAAAAATGCTTAGTTGGTTGCCTTTCATGATAACAGACAGTAACAAAATCCAACATCCGTACTGCCCCTCTTGTTTTTGTGTAATTAATGAAATCTTAGTCAAAGTGTAAGCTTAACTCTAATAGGGTTCTTGATTGAACAGCACAGAATAAGAGGCATCAAGCATTTGAATTTCTTAAGTTAACAAAGATCATAACCCTACATGGAATTTTTTATTTTTTTTTTATTTTTGGTTAGAAAATTTTATAACCTTAACAACGAACAATAAAGAAAATATCATCTTGATCAGCCAGAAATGAGCAAATTATATCTTTAAAAAGATTTTGTAGGTGGATAATCTATAAGATCTGATTCAGACTTCAACATGTTTGGTTATTCCATAAAACCCACAAAAAAAAAACTGAATCATTAATCCCAAAACAGCATTTTTTTTTTTTAAAAAAAAATTGAATTACCAAAAACACATAGATCTTACCTTGAACTGGAAAATTCATAGAGTTTGCCTCTGGGAGAAAAGATAATCAGTGCAACCTCAGCATCACAAAGAACTGAAAGCTCAAATGCTTTCTTCAGCAGCCCATTTCTTCTCTTGGAAAAGGTCACTTGCCTGCTGGTGGCGTTTTCTATACGCCTCATCTGAGTTTTTCCTCTCACCATTTTTCACACACCTTGTAAAATCAAGAGAACTATATCAAAATGATGCACAAAATCAATACTCCTAAATAGAGACCGGACGAAACGGTCGAGATCTCGAATTCCTTTCTTTCTGATCCTTCTTTCCAAAGATGTCGTAAAGGTTTTAATTATGAGAAAGAATATCTACGAGATGAATATGAACTAAAAGAAAGAAATTATAGTTCTTAACCTGCGGAGCAAGTTTTTGAAAAATTTGCCAAATTTGTGAATATGAAAACGAAAGAATTAGAAAAAGCAAGACTTTGCAGTGTGGTATAAAGGGATGGATGGTCTATAAATTTGGAAAAATCCCACAGAACCTTTTGGTTGGAGGTGAGAGCGGCATAGGGCTAAAAAAAGGGTAGACACAAATATGAAGTGTGTGTATTTGAGAGTGACAGAGAAATCAAAGGAAAAAATTCAAGAAAATCCCAAAGGTTTAACACAAGATGATGCAACTACTCAAGTGATTGATTGATCGTCAGTCTCTATTTTTGGGTTTTATCATCATAAGCCAAGGACTTACACAGTCACACGCTTTTAAATTTTTTCCTTATTCTTAGGTATAATTTCTAGCTTTCACTTTGCAGCTAACCCCACCAAGGAAAAAGATAGAACACAGTAATATTTTTAGTTGAAAAAACCTGATTCTTTGCTAGTTTTGGTAAAACCCCACAAAATGTAACACCAAGGAAAATGGAATATATAAAAATACCACTCCAACAACAATGTTAGAGGGAGAAAGGGACAGATTCTTAAATACAGTCACTAAAATCTTGGCAAAATTTTGAGTTGTCCGTACAAGTTGGATCCACAGCAACATCGTAGTACGCTCGTATGAGAGATCGACAACTCATAAGGGTGTTTTGATGGACGTGGAGACAGACTTTATTACACATGGGGGCCTCCCTTGTCCTTCGCCATTTTCATAGGTTACTACTTCTCTCAACTCTTTCCTCATAAATAAATAAATAAATAAGCATTTCAATTACTATTTGTGTATAAATGTCCACTTTTTTCTTTTAAGGGTCTTGGATTGTGTGTGTGTGTAACTTTCAGAAATGTTGAGGTGTGACTTGGCTATCGTAATTGATTTCTTTTTCTATTTTTGGTAAAATTTTGGTTAATTTGATTTCAAGTTTATCGTTTCTTAATTACTTTTTCATTTCGACTTACGTGTTTTGTTTTTTATTTAGAAAAATTTTCTATATGCGATAAATTTCATTTTATTATTGTTATAATGTCGAGGGGGTTCGCTTGATATTTTTGGAATTGAATTTATGAAGGATTAATGAAAGGTGATGAATAGGAAATCTAAGCCCTATGGACATCCTATCTCTACACCTGAATTTTAAATCCACTTGATAGGGGTAGGCGCACAATGAGTCAATTGAAAAATTGCTTTTCTTCGTTTAGCGATGTAATCAACCTAATCTCTTTATACAAACGACACATATCAGATCTAAAGTGACCAATTCCCCTATAGGTGATCACTTGACTTGCACATTAAGATCAATCAATCAACGAGCTTGTGGCAAAATCAGGCGGCCTCCTACTCTAAGTTAACCCACTATTAAAGGATTCATCAACAAAAGGCTCGTGGTTAGAAATTCTCCCTAAAAATAGTGATCAAGAGTGTAGTTGCCCGATCGATCAAATTCCACATAGGATCTCATACTCGACTCACTAGAATAACTGATGGATTCCTAACTCGACCATCTCAAAAGAACTGCTACTAGAAGTAATGACCAATGTAAGTTTGAAGATAAATCGAAGACTGGAATTACAAGAACAAAANAAGCCAATTCCACCTTGCGGGGAATCGAACTCTGCACACTGCCGCGCTGAGCCCTATCCGCCCTCCCCTTTGCCACTGGGAGACATGAACATTGTTATATGTACACTACGGTGTACACTTTAATTTACAATTTGTCATGTGTCATTATTCTATTGGACATTTTGAATTTCAAACAGTTTTTTTATCCAATTGACACTTAACAATAATGCAAGTGTTAACCAAAGTATCAAAAATCAATGTACAAATAGCAAAGTTCAAAAGGTATACAAGGAATGATAGTGGCACTAGTATTTATTACGACCACTTAGAAGCAAATTGTCGTCTTGATATATTGTTCCCAACACTTGACTACTACTAAGCGAAGGAAAAAGAAAACAAAAACAAAAGCCAAAAAAAAAACATTGAAAAGTAGATTGACTTATGATGTTGATTTGCTATAGCTGCTATTAATCGATATGATCAACCGAATGAATTCTCATTTGGACCAATTTATTGGTAATCACTGAATGTCATTAGTTGACGACGAAAATGCAATTCAATAAGTGCATGCGTGTAGTTGTTCTTATCCAAATTACCTTGATAGAAATTTATCTTAGGTATTTATGACTGTTATAATCAACACTTCCTGATTGGTCCACGTACTGCTTTGGTACACATATCGAACGATTTTTAGGAAAGGATAGGGTGTATACTTACACTTCCTAGGCTCGGATGAGACACGTCATCCATGACAATTGTTACTCCATTGGAGTGGGTACACATGGATTTATAAACGAAGGTAAAAGAATACAAGAGCCCAAGATTGGACAACCAAATCATACCATTGTATAAATAAGTTTTTAATATCTACTTTTATATTTTCTCGTAGTGTCAATTAGTCAATGTCTACCTATTGAGATTTGTGGTTCTATTTTATAAAGTCAATCTTACTAAGTAAAAGACGTAGTCAAAATCCTTGTATATTGCATAACATTTTTATCTTTATTTAATGTGTGATATACCCTTAGTGTTTCTAGTGTAAATAATTTGAAAACAGAAAATATATTACATCAATAAAATGTCACTATTATCAAGGATAACTATGCATCTGTAAGTTTCAATGGATGTCAAAATCATAAACTATGAGATCACAATAATGAGATGAAAATGATTTCACGAAATGAGCATAAAAATCTATTTTGTGGCCATCACCACTTTTGGATTATTTTTGAGCTATATTTATCGATTGTCGAGGTAGTTGTTGATATCTATTTTGAAAACTCTTGACTAGCTATGCAACGCATATATTGAAGTGAAAAATCGGTAAACAATGGAATTAATATATATAGTCAAAGATTGCTTTTAAAATGAATTTAATGATTCTATTTTGTTCCCGTTAACTCCCAGTCAACTTATGTAAAGATATATTTGATGTTAGTCCTGTCCAAATCCTCGTTTACCAAAAATTACAAGCTCCCCCGACTAATTAATCCTAATTCCCCCTGATAGGGAAGCGAGTTGCTTCCTTGTATGAGCTAATGGAAAAAACAATGTATCTGTTGACCCAAAAAAGTGTTGCCAACAGATGTCGGTCCCACCCGCACACACGTGGGCGAATGCCCAGTACGCTGTGACATGTGGACGGTCTACAACGAGCGATTCAAAGGACGTGAGAGTAGCCCAATGATGTGGGACGATGACGTTCGGAATCTGACCGGTTGTTCGTGATCCGATTGTACAATAATTACCAACCAGTGTGCGTAAATGTACATGTAAATATATGTAAACTCGATTTGTGTATTGCAAATAAATGAGAAAGAGTTGAGTAAAGTATAGTTCTTTATATTGATTCTTGCATTAGTCCTTTGATGTTACACAAGGGAAGTATTTATAGTGATATATGTGAAATGGGAGCCCTTGGATGAGGTGGCATGTGGCATCATCTTTTTTATTCAAACATCTTATTCTAGGTAGGGAGCTTGACTTGTTAGCTTGCTGTGTATTTATTGCTTGTGCAGAGCCTCCATGCTAGTGACAAGACTTGACCTTTATGCTTTGACAAATGTTCCATCAATTATTCGAATAAGATCTTTGTGTAGACGAACTCTTGGGAGAAGTGACCGTGGAGGACGTTCCCATGTGATTCGGAGGCTCCTGCATCAGTTTTGGGGCTTCGACCATTTCATACAATACTTCTCTTGAGAGTTTCAACTAACTTCAACCAGCTCCGCATCATGGCGTCGGGCAATAGGCCTCAACATGTCGACCTCGGTTACCATCACAGGCCTCGGTGAAAGGGCATGCCTTGGATTGAAGGGCTTCGGCCATAGCCCACCTCGGCAATATATACCGCCTCGGCTGAAGTACCACGTGGTTCGGCCTGAGTGAGCCATTGGCCCAGGTAGGTTGGCCAAGTATTACAATACACAAAAATAGTCCCCCAAAGTTGAAGTTGAAGTTGAAGCCGAGGTGGTTGGGAAACCGAACCTGCGAGGCTCGTAGGTTGATCGCGGAAGTTGAAGCCGAGGTTCGATGGAAATGATTGTGTGTCGATAGCTGCGCCAATGATTTGATGTTTTGTGCTTGTTTTCGAGAAAAAGCGGCTGACCCGTACGACTTCCAAGGCGCTGCTGCCGTCGAATTAAAAATACAATTATGAAGATAGTTGGAGGTTTTAGAAGCAGACGTGTTGGATGGGGTGCGTGGGAGGCACGCTTGAATCTGAGGCGTAGGTTGGAAAAATCGTTTGAATTCAACGCCTCAGATTTATTCTTCAAAGGAGGGTTCAGATTGACTGAGATTCGATCTGACGGCTGGGGTTCGTCCTGGATCTCTATAAAAGGTAAGAGAATCCCATTTTTTAGGACTTTTGAAAACTTACAATTTAATTCTCTCTCAAAATCTCGAACTTTCTGGCGTCAAGGCTGCCTGTTCTTTGATTTTTCGGTCTATTCTCCATTCGCGTAGTGTTCTTCCCTTAGGTATTATTCGCAGAAAAGCCCTTTTTGTTGTGTTAATTCTGTGAAATGGAGTCCACCTCGGGTAGGAAGCTGGTGACTGTAGCATCGTTAGATTATAGGGTCAGTCAGAGGGGGGATGCCGAGGCTGATAGTTATGCTATGGCCGAGGACCCAGTAGATTATACTGAAGAGTGGGGGGCGTCTAGGGTGCCCTCAAGTATGACGTGGAAAAGGTTAGGGGAGATCAGGGAGAGATAGTGTCCCCCACACCATAGAAATGCTAGTACCCGAGCCAAATGAGGGTGCCTGCTATCCGAGGCCCGGATGCGTGGCAGTTAGTGAATACCTGTTTAAGGCAGGTATGCGTCTTCCTCTGCACCCCTTCTTTAGGGCGGTGTTGAGGAACTTTATGTTGTCGCCGACCAGGGTTCTACCAAATGGGTGGAGCCAGTTGGTCGGCTCGTACTTCCTGTGGAAGGAGGTGTCACTTGGGGAGGACATGCCTCTCCATGTATTCATGACCCTTTTCCAGCCCCGGATCATAGGGAAGGAGTCCAGGGGGTGGTATTACCTCACACCTTAGGGGGCTCACGCACCCTTTGTGGTGGGACTGCCTTCCTCCATTAAGGGATGGAATGAGTCCTTGTTCTAGGTGCGGGGAAAATGGCAGGCAGTGGAGGGGGACAAGGCCCTATCTTGCACAGTGCCGACCCAGTACTATGAAGCTCGTGAGTCTCCCAGCCCCTGCTTGTACTTCTGAATTTGGACACTTAGAAAATTTTAGAAAATTTCTAACTGTTGGGGC